TTCCCTACAAGATAAGTAGTTATAAAAAAAATATATATATGATATTCCATTCCAACATACTGGAAACAGGGACGAAATCAATATTGCGCTCTCAGCTTTCCTTATACTTCTTTCCATTTATGCCGCATACACAATGATTACACTTGGAGCTGTTCTTCACTTTTTTCTGAAACAACTTAATCGACACCATCTCTATCTGTCTATCGTTACAAAAAGGTTTCGCATATTTCAAAGGTTTCGCTTATTTCACCAGCTGCACAATTGTTTCTGAATTCGGGAGTTTTGGGAGGATTTGCCACCCTTGTCTTTGTAAGAGTTTCTGGATGCAAAACTCCTCCGGCCCCCGCGGGCTGCTGCTACAGCACGTTTTCTTTGCTTGTTTAGACTCTTGTTCAGTTCAGCATCATTTTCAATTGCACTTTGATTATCTTCTTCCTGGAAAATGAAACTGCTATTAGTTTTGCACATAAGAAGAGAAGGAAAGGAAAGATAAATGTCAGGTGATAGCGTGTTATAAAGCAGCGCAAACAGCATGGCACTAAAATTTTAACAATGAAGAGCAACAAACAAATTACGTTTTTTTTGTTCTTTCTACCTAGAGGATCAAGTAGAAATAGAGAAGATATAGAAGATGATACTAAATGTAGTTACATACAACCACGCAAATAAACCAACACAACTTTACAATGAAAAGTACATCTGCATTAGGACTTTGTTTACAGGAAAGTTTTTTTTTGTAAGTGAATTCCGAGAAAATAAATTCCTGAAAAGTAAATTTCAAGAAAAATAAATTCCTGAAAAGTAAATTATTTTTCGATAATTGGTAGTGTTATAAAAAATAAACTAGAAAACACTTTCTAGTGTTTGGTTATTTTATAAAAAATAAACTGGAAAATAATTTATTAATGTTTTATTTTTCTCAAGTTTATTAAAATAACAAGGAATAAATCTTACAAATTAAAAAGTTAAATAATAATAAAATTGAAAAAAAAATAATTTCATAAATTATCTCAAATAAAATAAATAATAATCAAAATAATAAAGATCAAATCTTAAAAAAAAATGAAGAAATTAAAATAATAATAATTAACATTTCATAAAGTATTTCAAATAAAATAAGTAACAATCAAAAGAATGAGAACCAAATTTGATAGATAAAACATTTTAATAAAAAAATAATAGGAAAAAAGAAAATAACAATTATAAAAATAAGGACCAAAGTTAATATAAAAATTAAATTTTAAGAAATGAAATTGAAAAATAAATATTCAAAACAAAATATATATAGCAATCAAAAGTTTGAGGATCAAATTTGATATAATCAGCAAATAATGACATTTCTAAATTTTTCACAACTTCCGGAAAGTGTTTTCCGCCCAAATTTTTCAGAAAAACACTTTCATGAAAACCAAGCCAAATTTTTAATTGACTAAAAAGTGTTTTCGTTTACTATCTTTCTTAACAGCAAACAAACACAAGAAAGTTTGGAAAGTGATTTCCCAGAAACCACTTTCTGAAAAACAAACACAAAAAATTTTGGAAAGCGTTTTCCTGGAAACCAGTTTCCAGAAAACAAACACAGCTAAAAAGAAAAATACTTTTCTGAAAACCAAGCTAAATTTTTCTTTGACTGAAAAATATTTTTCGTTGACTAGAAAGTGTTTTCCGTTGACTGGAATGTTTTTTATTGACCAGAAAGTGTTTTTCATTAACCGAAAAGTGTTTTTGGTTGACCAACTTTTCTAATGGCAAACAAACACGGGAAAGTTTGGAAAGTAGTTTTCCGGAAACTATTTTCCGGAAAACAAACATGGCCTAGAACACGAAGCATTTTCCTTTTGGGGGCATTTGTAAAGAGACGAGAAGAAATAGAGCTATTGTTAATTTAGTATGTGGTTAAACATCCCTCACAAGATATAATCCGACAGAAGGAAAATGTGATGCAGGGGAACCAAGTATTTAGTAAGAATACTAGGGATGTATTATAAAGATGCAATCATCCACAAGCTCAATATCTTGAGCCAATAAACTTTTGCACATGGGATGGATGCTAAGCCCCAAGTAACACTGTAATCCAAACCCCTAAAAAATGCATGCCTATATCAGGTTACACGTCAGACCAATATAAAAAATTTAACAGCTGGAGCAAACAATAATTGAAAATGTACCTTGTCGCTGTCATCTTGAATTTCAGGCCTGTTATCTTGACCTGCTTCGCAACTCCATTGCTTAACTTCTACCCCGTCCTCATCAGAGTTTGAAGTTTGCTCTTCCTGACAAGTAATTATTCTTAATAATTTAAAACAATCCAATGCAGGGATACAGAACAAAAACATTCTGGACAAGAGTACATAACAATAGACAAAAATCATTGATATATTGAATGCACGTGTGTTCCAGGAGATGCAGTTAAATAAACTGCAGACTGCAAGTCTGCAATTTAAATCTGGGCATCCTTCCCAAAGCCATGATATTATACTTTTTAGAATGGTTATCTTTGCATACTTGAATCCATCAATAAATATTTTGGCTTTAAATATCTTCAACATTGATCAGATATCCACTTGTTTCCTTGTCACTCTCCGTAAATTGCCTGTTTAAGAATTTTTCTTGCATGTCATGGTAATGGTATAATTATTTTTCCCTGATCTCTTTTGTTAAAGTCATTTATAAAAACATAAGAAGCTGAAAAAGGGTTTTGGTTCGCTAGCATGCAAAAGGGGCAGAGCACAAAGTACACAATCCATAACAGGGTCACCTTATCGATAGCGAAAATCATTCTGGTTTTTTTCCATTTTTTGATCAACTTCAAACAAATTAAATTCAACCAACTCTTGATCTTTAAAGTTCTACTTTTCCGATGATTAACCATCACTAGTAAGATAAATTTCTTATCATGTCTCAAGATACCCAAGAATCAAAACACCATATCCAAATTAATCATTGCAACTCCCTAACAGGCATGGCGAAGTTCCCACTTCCATGCCCGCAGATAATGCAATGTGTTCTTCCATCAATGTGTTCTGA